CGCCTGTCTTTAGATAGAGTTAAAATGAGCTTTAACATGTATATGTAGTTCAGCAATAAAGTTGTACTTATTGAAATTGAGCCCCCAAAAGTGGAAAATCATAAATCTATTGTGAATCAGGCACTTTCCAAATTGGCTATTCTTATGAAAGATGCGCTAGATATAGGAATTTATGATGAAACATACGGTATACTCATCAATGGTAAGTAATCAAAGCTAATCCTACACTGATGGGCAATATGCTAATTATTATATGTTTATATAATAGGAAACAGAATAGAGTTTTGGAGAATCACTCTAAATTATGATGGTTTATATCAGTTGGTGTCTCTAGTTGAAATGACTTTTCCCACCAAGGTAGCAGAGTTCCTTGTGATTCTCTCTGTCATGGAGAGATGTTATGAATTAAAAGTAAGAGTCTATTTGCAATAGTAAACTAGTTTGTTTTAAGCATTTTTATTTATTATAAATTTCATTTTAGGAGCTCGTTCTTGGAACTGAACAACGTAATATGAGAAAGAGTAACTCCAGACTGAATGAAAACTATCAGCATGATTCAAACTCTAGTCCTATGAAGACAAAAGTGCCCATTATAAATATACATACATCTTAAATAAAAGTGAGTTCGGTATGATGTTCGCGTATTAGCAAAGAATAAGCGCTATTGTATTATAAATATGTGGTGTAGTTTATATAATAATTTTTTATTATTTCAATGCATAGAGTAGTAGACTAGTAGTGAAAAATATGTTATATGATGTAAACTATTGTCAGACCTCGCCTCTCTAATTAATGTCTCTATTAATAACTCCCTCGTAGATATATCGTGTTGTGTCTTTTTCCCTCAGATGTTATTCAATCCAAGGGGGAGAGTGGTATACTCGACCATTCGTTTTCAATATAATTCAGCCTTGGTATATATCTGCTCCATTCAGAATAGAGTAATGGAGCTTGTACTCCATTGGCTCCATTGGCTCCATTGGCTCCATTGACTCAATTGTGGCACAGTAATTTTGTTGGCAATGGAGCGAATGGAAAAGTTGCTTTTTTAGGATAACCAATAATAATGGCCAATAAAATGTCAAAGCATCATCTTATCTCATCTCATCTCACGGTTTAATATCACGGGTTTTATTTTGTGAATGGAGGTATATCCAGTGGCTTAC